ATTATTTAATAATTCAAAAATTTATTAATTTGATCAATCGGAACTAATAGTATTATAAAACATATAAAAAAAATTTTATCATTTGTGTAACGGCCGGGTGACTCAGGTAATCGTTTCCTAATTTGGGACGGTCTCCCCTGGAGGCAATAGATTAGGTATTCGGATATTCATGTTTATTAGGCATTTATTATAAAAAGAATGTGAATTTATGTAATTTTTATTTTGGAGAGGAATTTGGAGAGCATCTTCTCCCTTAACCAAGGATGAGAGTAAGCACTTATATACATGATAATTTTTTAGAGCGTGATCATAATGACTACCACGTATTCGCAGTAGCTTCCGCGTATTCGCGGTAACCACAGCGTATATTTAGCAACTTAGCAGTAACATTTGTTTTTAGTATTACTAATTAGCAAACTAGCGATTTCCGAAAGCTATTTCCCAAAAGAACATTATACTGGCTAATTATTCTCTTTCGGGAAAGTGGCTTGAGTTACATTATTATTGTATTAGTATTAAAACAAATCTATTAATTAGCGCTTTGTCGTAGTATTTTATTTATCTGCAGTATCAGTATCAATAAAAATGGTACTTGAAATATCCAAATGTTCGTGTCAATTAATTATTTTTTAATAAAGTAAAAATCGTGGCCAAGTATATAGTTAAGGAATGTTGGAAAAGTTTTGGTTGTATTTTAAAATTACAAGCTCGTAAACGTAGGTCTAAGCAGAATTTTATTCTCTTGAGAATAAAGTACCGAATAAAAACTTATGAAAATTACTTATTTTTGGTAATGTTTTAGATTAATCGATTTTTTTTTTATACTAGCAAAAAGAATTCTGGAATTAATAAATAAAATACTTCGCTTAAAAGAATCTTTTGAATTTTTTTATTTTATTTTAAAAATGCTTTTGTTTTGTGGCGATGCTAAGTTGGCGTGATCAAGTTTATCCAATTAAAGACAGGATTTCATGTATCCAATCACAACTGTGGGGGATCCCGAATACGCGGTGGTTGTAGAAAAATAATTAGTAAATTTTTCATACACTACAAAACAAAACAAAAAAAAAAAATTAATACTTATTTATGTTTTCGAATTTTCGTTCAGCAGTATGACTAAAATATGTATTTCAATTAATAATTTACATAGTACAGTAAATTTTTACACGAAATATTTACTAAAAAAAATAAAAAATTTGAAGTGCTAACTCAAAAAGCAAACCGTTAGTATTAAACAGTATTTTAAAAAAAAAGTTTTCATCCAATGGAAAACGTTATTTGTATTCGTTCAATGGGAAGTGTGGGGAGAAATTAGTAAACCCCGCATATTCGAATTATAATGCCTAATACTACTAAGGTAAGATTAACATGGCTAAAATAGTACAATTATGGAGGGTAAGTGACAACTTAAAAGAATTAGACAAATACGGACGTGAGAAGACACAGGAAAAATTAATCGTTACAGTAGGTGCTTGAGAACGCCTTTAATCGGGCTCTCTCTATTAGTTTAATTACTAACACGGCATTAAGACCATATTTTTGTTATATTTCCTTTATAAAATCATTTCTTGACCTTAAAGAAAGTTGAGCCTAAAAAATTGAAAGATACAAAATTTATAAATCGATAAAATTTTTAAAAGTGACCCAGCAACCGGCTTTTAATTTTATTTTTATTTTCAAAAAATTTTATATATAAAAAACAATTTTTTTAAAAAAATCCACCCGACAGTAAATATATCATGTCTGTAACTTATATTTTCATTATTTCTGGAGCAACTAATAATTGTCGATACCAGAATAGATAAATTACCGAAACAGAATTGATAATAATAAGTTACCAGCATCGGTCGACGTCCGACATCAGAAACTTATTGGTTCGTTTATCATAATTTTTTCAGTTATCCCAGAAATAATGAAAATAACTGTAAACTAAAAATCTTGAATTAACCCTAGCCGCCGTATGACGACCAAAAAGCTAAGATGAAATTACTTAATATTTTACTAATGAAATTACTATCACTCATTAAGGGAAAAATATTTTGGGGCTAATTTTATCATAGTGCAGGCTTATTTCTCAAAATTTCTACTGTATTTTTTTTTGAAATGAAAAATTAAAAAAGTTAATTCCGGCCAGAAATTATATAAACAATTATGTAATGTGGGCCAAAATTTTGTCAATCAAAGCAATTAGCAAATCATAATTGAAAATCTGCCATGAGCATATAAATCAAATCATAGCTTGTGCATGAAATCTTTCGTTTTATACTAGAAAATACACAAAACTAATATCTAAAGCGACAACTAGGTTAGAAAATAAATAATTTTTTATAGAGAATAAATAATCGTGGAATATTAAATAAAAAGTCAAATTAGACAATATAGCTAAAAAAAACTCGAATCCTTTCGAGAAAAAAAAAAATTGAAATATTAAAAACTAAATTCTGTTTGATGTCATTGATGTCATTAATTATAAGCGTTTCCTTATAACATGATTTGATTAGCTGGCCTCATAAATCGCAACGTAAGTGGATTCACACTCAACGACTGCACTTTCATTGAATTTGACAATGATACCAAAAGAAGGATCGCAAACAGTAGGACAGTAATAACCAAATGTATCTGTATCGTCTTCCGTATTATGATAAGCTCCAAAGAAAGCTAAAGATTCAAAATATCCACAACTATCACCCATGGCCGCGGAAATACCGCAAAGGCGAGAGACTTGATCTTCGTAATCATCGTAATAGGTGCCAAGAGGTGGTAAAATATCCCAGGCTAGATTTTTTGTTCTTTTTTTTAACACATCTCTTCTTTCTTGTGGTTGCGGATTTCTTTTAAGGCTAAATCTTCGTTTAATTGAAGGGTCCGCACCTGTTACGTAAATTATGGTCACGAAGACTAACACCAAAGTTGATAAGAATTTAAAGTGGTTCATCTTTTAAATTTTTTTTTAGAAATTTTTAGAAATCGAATTTTTATGTGTCTTTCAGAATAAATTATACTTCATTATATAGGAACACCCACAACAAAAAGGGGGCATTGGGCCAAAAATTTTGATTTTTTAATTTATAAAAAGTATATGAAATTACTCTAATTTTTCAAGAAATTGATTTTTTAAAATAAATTTTTCTTGGCTCATTGCACCCCTTTTTGCTGTGGGAGTCCTATGTGGCGTTTACAATTATTAAAAAGCCCATATTGCAAATAGCAAAATTTGAAAATATATTAAAGCCACAAATATTTAAAGCATCTTATATTTTTTAAATAACAAACATTTCACATAGCCTCATAAACTTCATAGCTTGCATGATTACAGTATTTAAGCTAACAGTTATGTTGTTTAAAAATGAGGGCGTTCTCAAATGCCTTAATCATTAGGTCAAAATGTGTCAGGAATTAACTTTTAATTAGCAAAAAAATATTATTAGGGAGCTGACAGAAAGAGCTCATATATACCCCACTCCCTTTTACTCCTATACCCCCTCTACCTCCCTTTGCCTTTTTTACCCCAAGTGCCCCCTCTTGGGGGTAAAAGAGATGGGTATAAAGAGAGGGGTATAGGGGTATAAAGGGGTAGAGGGGTGGGGTATATATGAGCTCTTTTCTGTAAGCTCCCTTAACTGATTAAACAAGCTTGTCACTAAGATAAATAATATAAGAAATACTTAGCTTATTACGTCAAAGAAAAATTTTAAATAATAAAAAATATTAAGAGTTTAACATTCCAGTCAACATTTTGTCCCAACTAATCGGTTTTATTTACACTGGTTTATCAAACCTTTATAAATATTAAAATAATTTATAGTTATTTTTCAAGAATTTTATGCTTTCACTATAGATTTTCATTATCAATGCAACACTAAAAAATTTGCTATTAACTATTTAGATAGGTAATAAATCGCAATAACAGAAATATATTATGGTTTAATAGTTACAAACTCGTAGTATAGGTGGGTATATATAATTATTATGGTACGAAATCCTGAAGAACTAAATCTCGATGGTACTATATCTCGAAGCTCAAAATCTCGAAAAAGCAATATTTTGGCAATTCATTAATTCAAAAATTAAATCTGGAAAAGGCAATATTATGGCAATTAATTAATTCAAAAATTAAATCTCGAAAAGAAAAAATGTCCTGAACGATCATAATCCCGAATGTAATAATCTCGAATGTAACAATCCTGAATGTAATAATCCAGAATATAATAATAATCCCGAATGTAATGTAATAATCCCGAATTAATGATCTTGAATTAATGATCTGAATATGCAATTAGTTAATTGGATTAACTTTTGGGTTGTGGTTAGTTAAAAATAATTTAAAATACTTTAATTTAGACACAATCAGCCTCACGTTAATACATAGAACAATGCTCATAAAATCGTGAAACGTCAATTAAGGATGGTAAAAAATTTTTTTTCACCGGTTTAAACCATGTGGCATGATTCGAATACATTAAATTTAGACTTTGCATATCCAAATCACAAACATCGCATGTTTTAAAAGGGTGAAAATGTTTTTTTTTTTTACCATCCCTAACGTCAATTTGCCAAATTTGCATTCGCGTTTGATATTTTACGAACTAAAAGCATATATAGTCTCTTGGTTATGTTATGTTTTATGGTTATATTTGTGGTTATGGTTATGGTTATGTTTGTGGTTATGGTTATGGTTATGTTTGTGGTTGTGGTTATGGTTATGTTTGTGGTTATGGTTATATTTATGTTTGTGGTTATGGTTATATTTATGTTTGTGGTTATGGTAATGCAGTTGCTCTTGCTCCATGATAATCGAAAAGAAAAACAATAAACTATTAAAAATGATTCAACTAAATTAATTCGGGGTCATTAATTCGAGATTATTAATTAATCCGAGATCATTAATTCGAGATCATTATATTCGAGATTATTACTTTCGACATTCGTGATTATTACATTCAGGTTTTCGAGATTGTGATTCTTCGGGATTATGATCGTTCGAGATATATTTTTTTTTAGATTTTTTTTCGAATTAATGAATTGTCAAATATTGTTTTTGAGTTCCGGGATATCCATCGGGATTTAGTTCTTTGGGATTTTTAACGACTCCGTAATAGCATCTTATCCAGTTGCATTGCTCCGGATTCAAAATATAAAAAATTGATTTAATTTAAAAACAAAGAAATTATTATAAAATATATACCGGTATATAGTAAATACATGTACCCTACTGTTAATCAACACAGGTTGAATCAATGAATATCGGGTGCATAGCGGGAGACAAGTTTCCTGTTATGTACCCGATAGCCTGCCATAGATCCGCCAAATAACTGCTGAATAACAGTAGCATATTGG